TCCATCCCTCTGACTCCTGGTGGGTGGCGCAATAGACAGTGGTTGGTCCGCTCCTAGCTTCAGTGCCTGTGTTGTAAGGAAAGTTGGGATGGGTCTGAGGGTCTGCAGGTCCGCTCCCCCGTTCAGTGCCAGACTCTCCTCCAACTTAGGCTTGACCTCTGATAAAGATAAAACCAGACCCCTTGTAGCGAAATCTCTCAGTGAAGTGACTCTCCTCTGCCCATCACCCTTTCAACAGATTTATTTAATGAGTGCATGTTAGCTGTTTAAAAAAAAAAAAAAAAAAAACAGATGGAAGCCACAAAAATAAGTCATTTTTCATCAGAAAGGAACTCACAACTTAGGCGGAGAGGATTGCAGTTCCACTCAGCAAGCATCTAATGAATGAAAGCCTGCAACCTGCCAAGCTATGCCAGGAATACCAAGGTTTGTGTGGGCTCAGCCCTGAACCACGAGCACACAGTCGTATCAGGGAGCTAACACAGAGCCAAGTGCCAGAAGTGTGAGCAAACCAGAGGGAGCTTTCCAAACAGACCAGATTCTACTCCTGGCTCTGCCACTGAGCCAGCTATGTAGCCTGGGCATGCTCCTTGTTTGGGCCTCCCTGGTGGTGCAGGGGTTAAAGTCTCAGTGTGGTCAGGCTATTGCCAACCACTGCAGCAAGAGTTCAATCCCCAGCCAGGGAGCTGACCCACAAGGCACAGCAGACCTCTCCTGTTTTGCCCACTACTCCCCTGAGGAGCAGGGTATTTCAGTAGACCCGCCAGTTCTGCACCCCACTGTCTCAGTGAATCCTCTTCACCCCCCCCACCCCAGTTCCTGTATGCATAAATGAAATCTTTTTTTTTTAATGTTCATGGCTTCCATTGTGAAACTGGGTAACACCGCCTCTGAAGGATGACTGGAAAGACTTAATCATCATTGTTTAACGGCACTTGTAGTCTGGCCCGCATCAGACATTCAGTAAACACTTCCTGCTATCAATAGGCACAGAGACTTAGCTGCCAAACTCTTACGTAGAGCTGGGCCATGGGTACAAAGAGTGAGACTAACCCTACTTTTGATAGGGAAGCCAAAACTTGTCACTAGCAGGGTTCTTCCCTTTCCAGAGGTAAGGATTTGTGAGAGTGCTATGGAAACTGGAGGGAAAGAATAGGCAAATCTTTAGAGCACCTTGTAATCTAAAACAGGTAGACAACTGGAAAAGTGGGTCTTAGCAGGAATAAGCCAGGAACTGAAATAAAGAATAGAACAAAGGATGGATGCAACAGTATCCCTGTACCTCCAGTAGATGAGGGACCAGAACAGGAAATAACCAGAAAAGCAAGTTGGGGCCAGGCGCTGCAGGGCCCAGAATATCAAGCAAAGGAAGTGTGCCCTTTGTGTGGTGCAGATCCAGGACTTACCATTCGGCAAGTGACCCTGCTGCTGTGGGGCTGCAGCACTGCAGCAATTGGTGCCTGGCTTGAAAGTAGCAACAGGCGTAGGAACCAGCCCTGTGGGAACCAGCTGGGAGAAGCGTGCAGCCTGGACCAGGGGCTGAAGGGTGACACTACTGTAGAAGAGCCACTAAAAAAATGAGGTTTGTGCTGTCACCTGGCCAAAGTGGGAGAAGGCAGCACAGGGTCTCAATATGGACTCACAGCTAGCGAAAACTCTACCGCATAAATTCAATGGCTGGTCTTAACTACGTATGCCTCTTTCAAATCTTGTTAGCCTCACCTTACCCGCTAAGGCAAGCCACAGAGCTGGTTCACTTCTCCCATCTTCCAAGCAGCCCACCAGTTCTCAAGGCTCCACCTCAACCAGGCCAAAAGCAGCTCTTACTTACTAATCCCCCCAGAACTCAGGTAATCCCCACAAGAGATTATCTCCATGGAAAGAATCAAAAGAAATCCAGTTTCCTCTCCGTTTTGGTAGAATAGTAATCAGATGTTATTACCACTCATTTCCTGATGTCTCAATATTTGAGCCTGGTTTCTTCAATGCAAGAGGGTAGCTGGACGGGAAACGTTCCTCTGTCTTCGATGACTGTCCCCAGCCCAAGCTGCCTGCCCGCCACATGACCCAGGGTGGGCACCAAGCACACGCGCACTGCATGTCACGCACTGCTTCCTGTTTGTCATCTCTCCCATTACTGGGAGAAATTATTTACTCCCTCGTTGGCAGTTTTAGTCTAAGCTCCCAAGATTATTATTTCAAGCTTATACTAAAGACTTTAACTCTGTCCAGTAGTTAGAATTCCAGTAAGTACTTCTTCACTCATTTGACTTTTCCTCTCAAAAACTCTTCTCAGGGTTTCCAAACACTGGTATCCTAAAGACAATGATTTACCACAAGGAAAGTTGTCTTCAAGGCTACTTGCAATCATACTTTTAAGAATTACAATGTCTGTGAAAGCCAGATGAGTGTATAATACTAGGTGCTCTATTGACAGGACCTAAAATTCCCTAGTTCCTCCTCTACCCATGGACACAGGGAGCCTGTTTTTCTATTCACACTTGAAGTGTTACTCCTCTGCTGAGTTACCATGTGCTATTTTCTAACTACCATCTTTGGGGTATTAAAGAGTAGTACTTTGTTTTCTCCAACTCTTCTCAGGAAATGATCTTTACCAAACTAACTATCTTGATACTTATCAAGAATTACCTGAGGGGGCTTTATACATTTTTGTCTTTGTTTTCTTAAGAGAGCTTTTTAAAAAAATAAAAGGGGGGGGGGAGGGTAGGGGAGGAAGGGTTGCTGAGGTTGCTGATAGCCCCTTCCAGAGGGCCTGCTTTAACAAAAGCTCAGGGAAAGCCCTGGCATGCAGGTTTAACAAGCATTCCAGGGGTTCTGTGTAGGTGGCCTGCAGGCACCAGTTTCTGAAACACTTTTCTTTAAGCCTTTATCCTGTAGGTAGTCACCTAAACTTATCAGTTCTTTCCAGCAGGATTCTCACTCCCTTGTCTTCTCTCCAGGGCACTGAAAGCAAAGATAGACTTTACTACTGCTGAGGGTTATTAAAAGGAAAGACAAACAAAGAAACAAATTAAGAGAAGAGTAAAGCAGACATGTTAGAGTCCCCTTTCCATTATTTATGTTGCAATTAGAGTACAAAAGTGTAACTTTTTTCTTTTAAGATACCTACTTTAGGGCCCTCCCTGGTGGCACAGAGGGCTAAAGCGCAGCACTATGAAACTGTCCACAGCCACTGCAGCAAGAGTTCCATTGCGGGCCAGGGAGCTGATCCACTGGGCACAGCAGGCCTCTCCTGATCATCTGCCCACTGCTGCCCTCATCTGCCTGTTCTGCTTACCATTCTGTCTCTGGTGGATCCTCTAATCAGCCCCCCACCCCCAACACCACCAGCGCACAGGTCTTGTTTACATAAATAACACTGGAAAAAAAGTGTACTTTAAGAGTATAATATGTAACAAGTTCAATTTTCCACTCAGTAAGTGACTTTCTCTACGAAAGCCCTAAAGATTTTCAGACTCCACCATTTAGTTCCAAAGTAAACAATTGGGTGGAAATTCACAAACTCAAATCAGTCATCTTTATCTTTTGTCTGTTCTTCCATTTCTTAGTATTCATTAAAAACAAAAAATAAATCAAATGATACAAACGCAAAGTAGTTAAGTTTACTTAAATGAAATCTTAAGTAAAATGTTAAGATTAAAAAGTCTGGGGATGGATGGCTTGCTAAATGGTTTTCAGTATAACTGGGTGGCAATCTTCCCATCCATGGTACTGTACCTGTCTGAAATTAACAATGACTTGAAACTGCAAACATAACATCATACCAATAAAGTGGTCCAAAGCTTATAAAAAATTACTTTTTATTCCTATTGATGTTAAAACCAGGACCATCACTAGAATTTATATAAAGATCAAAGTCCACATAACTTTTTTTTTTATATAGTTGTTCATTATTATTATTACTATTTTCTCCCCTGGCCTTTTTTTTTTTTTTTTACAAGATTTATTTATTTGTACATACAGAACTGGGGTACAGGCCAGAGACTCAGGGGCAGTGAGAAACTTCACCAGAGACAGAGTGGGGAGCAGAACAGGCAGATCAACGAAGTACACTGCTGAGGGGAGCAGCGGGCGGGTCAGGAGAGGTCTGCCGCGCCATGTGGTCACCTCCGGGGCAGGTGGGAATCGAACTCATGCGGAAGTGGCTTTAGCTTCTCAGTGCTGTGCTTTAACCCGCTGCGCCACCAGGGAGGGCCACCACATAACTTTTTAAGTGTAAATGTATGACAGAGAAAGCAGATCAAGCAAGAAGGAATATGACTAGCACTGTCTCGTTTTACCTGCAAACTAAAGTTCTGAGTATGAGTTCCATGTCTTCAAAATTAACAGATTCAAACAGACAAGGACAGCAAAATGATCAAATGCCAAAGCAGATGTAACAAGGTGACGGGGTTCTGAGAGGCTTTCTAACAGGACAACCACCGGGTTACAAACCATCCCAGCACCCCTTTGCACCTGCCTCCCAGCAGCATCCCGTCACCCCAAGCCCAAGACCCACGTGCGCCCCCAGTTAGCGCCCAGGGAGCATGGCCACCATGCGATGCGTCCCGTCAGCATAGCCCTCTCCTTTCCCTCCGCCCAGGTGTTAACTCAGGGCTAAGAAAGACACCTGACTGATGGGGAAGAAACGCACCCCAGGGGCTGCCAGGCTGCTGCCCCCGAGCCCAGGGCCCCCGAGCGTCCCGGCAGGTGAACTAAAGAGGAAGGACCGTACGCGCAGACGAAGACGGGCACTTCCCGACCCCCGTCCTCAGGACTTCCCGAAACAACGCTTCAGCAGCTTGAAACTGTGACGTTAGACCGAGCGGGGCCAGGAAAGGCCCCTTCCGAAACGACCCTGCCTTCCGGGCGCGCCGGGCCTCCAACTCCGAGGCGCGAGCCGGCCGCCGTCCCCGGCAGGACCTGCGGCGCCCACGCGGGGCTCGCGGCGCGGCTGCCCGCACCCGGCGGGCCGAGGGGCCGCCACCGCCTCCACCTACCTTCAGGGTCGGACCATGGCCGCCTATCTTTCTCCGCTTCACAAACACCACCGGGAGGTCGGTCTCCGCGGTCAGCTCCGAGAGTGCTCCCTCGAGGCGGCGCCCGTCCTCTGCGGCACAAAAGCACACCGCGCGGCAGTCAGCGGCGGCGGCGGCGGCGGGAAGGGCGCGCCGG